GATTTCACCTTTAAAACGAAATAATATTTAGATACATAATCTATCAAGATGCCTAAAATTACAATGGAAAAATGTTTATGTACAATTGCGTATATTGTTTTACGGCTTGCATAAGTTTTACTGCGACTTATCTCTTGATCACAATTCTAGGGTTTTTACGTAATATTGCAACACTTTAGCTAGTAAACCGCGCTGATTGTTTTTTTCGTACAGTACTGTGTGGGAAGTGCCGGAAACATGAAAATTAGGGGAGTTCATCATGTTTTCTTCTGCTCAAGTAGTATTTATATTTGATTTAAATTGCTTAGATGCATCTTCAACATCTGAAAATGATTCGAATTTACAAAAAGCCGCTATTAAATTAAGTTGTTTGCGGCTATTGACTGAATTTGGCGCGCAAACTCAAAATGGATCCGATGTTCGGTGGGCTTCAAAATTTTATGATTCGTTAATATTCAAGCCTGGAAAAACCAACAATTCATTTGTTGATTTCAACCGACTCAGTTATGATACGTTTGATTCCGAAGTCTCCCAGAAACTAAATTTTTCAACTAGCCACCGAAATGATAGCCACGAAGTTGAAGCCAGAAGAACGTCTCAACGAAATGCTAGTCAGAACAGCTCTTCTAGAGCAATTCAAAGGCACAGCGCTTGTTTTATTCTCAACAAGGCTATACAAGAAGCCTTGAAAGATTATAACTGGGATTTGCCAGATGTAAGCTCTCCAGTAATAACCAAAAAATCACACTTTGCAGAAAATGGCTTGAAAGCTGGAAAATTAGATAATTTTAATGCCATTGTGGTTTTTACTAAAATTCCCCAAGATGCTGGTGCTGTGCAGGAATTTGTTGGTGGAGAAAATATTGCTACCCCTGAAGATTTTCCAAGAAAATTTTTTGAAAAAGCCACTCAGCAAGCACTTGAAGAAGTTAAAGGCTTCAGGCTGTTTTTCATTGACACATCTCCTACTCAAATAATGTTTAAAGATTTGCCTGTATTGACTGCTCTTAATGAGTATTTAGGTAAATTCAATGGATCGCTCCACTGTATCAGTTCTATTGTGGATTGTTCTGATCTACTGTCAAACTCTTCAAGACAAAAAGTTTTCCAATCTCAGAAGCTGCTTCTACATGGCTTGGAAAAGTCTTGGTTTTTCAAGGGGAAGAATCTTCGTTTAGGACGTCCTAGAAAACCTCAACCTGGACCTCTTCTTGTTTGGAAGAATGATTCAAAAATTGCAGCAAGAATCAAGCTTGAGATTCTTACTCTACAAGGAAGGCAAGAAAATTTAAGGATTGTAAATTCATTTATTTGAGTATATATTTCATAGGATTTTATATTTTTTAGTATTGTTTAATTCTGAAATAATAGATAACTCTTAAATTAATATTATGGTTATGAAAAGTGTTGCAAAAAAAAAAAAAGAAAATACTCTAGTACCTATAAAAAGCAAAAGAATGTTTTGTATACCAAATTTGTATTCTTATTTTGATAATACTTCATTGGAAAAAATAAATTTTGAGTTTGTAAATATGTTCCTCATCATTTAAATATTAGTTTCTTTTTTAAAAAGAGGTGAACTAATTATACCATTATTACCATATTGAAAAGTTATAATGCAAATTCAATTGAGTTATCAGATTTTGAAACATTGAATTTTTACTAAATATATTGAAATGTATAGTATTCACAATAAAATTATACCATTTTTAATTTATATGTATGTGTTAATATAATATTTGTTTTTACTTGAAGTTTTTAGAAGCTGTGTTAGTTGATGTTTACCACTAACCAGTATTTGCATGTGACACTTGCATTTGAATTGTTTTTTAATATTGATAATTCTTCATTTATAGGATAAATCATGAATGGCAAGAATTGAATGTTGTTGGCTATGCTAAGAGAAGCAGTGCAGCCGTGAAAGCAATGTCATCAATCAACAGCCAAATCATGCTTTGTCGGAGGCACCAAGCAACGGACACATCAAAAGACTCAATTAATTTTGATGATCTACTAACTACTTTGCATCTGCAGAGCTTAATACTGGTGAGAAACTCTCTTTAAACCTAGTTTGCCTTTACAAATAAATAAATAAACTATACTGTCAAGGTTTCAAGTGAAAAAATTTGTCATGTAAAATATAGATTTTTTTGAATGAATATATACTTGTTGCCCAAACTTGCTTATCTTTTTCTTTTCAGGTCCTACAACTGACATGTGGTGGAATTGGACTTCTTTCTCCATTTATTGGCAGTGTAGGCTGCTTGACTGTGCTGTCTTCCTCTGGTCTAGCCCAGCCTCCACTGTCTCAGCACCTCATTGAAGATTCCTTGGTAGCTATTGCTACTGAACCACTACTGGCTTTCACTAAGGCTGCTATCAAGAAAGCTCTTAATGTGAGAACAAAATTTATGTTTATGGACAAATTACTTCTACAGCCTCTGACTTGTGTTGACATTTTGTGTTAAAAATTGAATGCAGGGGATGTTTATCATATTAAATATCTACCAAACACACAATGGAAAAATTAATGAAGTTAAAAAGATTCTGACAGCACAAAGAATCATGTTTGCAAGAATAAGCTCCATTTTCTGTTAGTTATGGTTTATTATATTGATCTATTGTCATTTTTAGAGGAATGGAATTTTTCTCATCTATGGAAAAAATGCCATATTGTGCTTGTAATGTCCGTCTGTCCGTGACTTCACGTTTTTGTTGATTTTGAGAAAATGTGCTCTCTGTCACTTTTTTGCAGTGAGTACTGAGTTATATTCAGGGTTTGTACCGGTCATGGAAAACCTGGAAAGTCATAGAATTAGATATTTTATTTTCCAGGCCTGGAAAGTCATTGAATTTCATGTCAGGTTATGGAAAGTCATGAAATTTGCAAATGAAGTAGAAAAGGAAGTGTTTTTCTGTGCTGCATGTGTTTACTGTTTGTGCAGTCTCTTGTTTCATGCATTCTGATTGGAGAACCAATCGAGTGAGCTCAGTCACCGAGCTCAGTTGCATTCAACAACTTTTTGATCCGCAGGGGCAGCGTTCCATCTTCAGCATGCAATTACTACATCACCATGCCTAAAAAAGTGTAAATTTTATGACTCATGGTTAAGAATAGAAGCTTATCGTGACTGGCCAAAGCATGAAGGTATGGTGATATGTACATACTACATAGTGCTCGTAAGACTTTGATGTGTCAAACTCAAATATGGGGAAGCAGCTTTGAAGAGCTATGCATTTACACGTTTGCTATTTATCAACGGTAGGAGATGATAGATTATGCACAGTTAGTCTTTCAGTTGTGATAAACCTGTTGTATTTGAGTCTTGGAAAATTATATTGATGGTCATGTAGAGTAATGAAAATTTCTTTCTAAATACCGGCACAAGCCCTGTAAACCTGTTGTATATGAGTCTTGGAAAATTATATTGGTCATGGAGAGTCATGGAAAAGTCATGGAATTTTTTTACAAACCATGGAAATACTGGTACGAACCTTGTATATTTTTTAAATCTTTCCTTGTCATATCATGCTCTTAGTTTGCTATTCAATTGGAAATTCTCATCAATATGCCAAATTTAACCCTTTCTCGGGTAAGTTACCATATATGATCACTTGAAATTGCGCCACAAAAACCCTCACCACGGCTTCCTGTTTGTTTTTGAGGCATCCTTATAATGCCTCAGTCAATCACAAATTATCTGACCATCGTTCTATCTATAGCATCACCAGCAGCAAAGTCCACAAATAGAAATATGAGCATTTAAATGAAGGTTTTGACTTGGACAATGGAACTGACGCTCTCTCCGCATTTTCTTCAAAATTTGGAAGTATCAATATATATATTTATTTATTTTTGCAACTTGATTAAATTTAATTAAATTAAATTTTTATGTTTCTAATTTTTCATTTGCTTAAACTGAATTTTAATTATAAAGAAAAATTTTTTGTACTGATCGCATTTATTGAATTCTTCAAGTGCGATTTAAACCTTCAATAGGCAAAATTTGCAAAAATTCACAAAAATAAATATATTGTATAATACTTCTTACTTTCTTGAAATGGTTACTGAAATTTTAATTTCTGAATATTTCAATGCTTGCCCACTAAAGGGTTAAGGAATTGGAGGTCCATATTCATTGTTTGCCACCATTTGTTGATTACCAGTACCTCCTATGGACAAAAAGGATTAGCAGTTGCTGTCCACCTTGACTGCACATTTGCATTGATAAGTGGGCGGAATTGTATGTCACATGCTGCTCTTGATATACTGCAGAGTCCCCTGTATTTTCTGTAATGTGATAATTCCATTTGAAATTGGGCAAAAGTGCATTGTGTGATCTGATTATTTATTGTGTATTATGTTAAGCCTTTGCAACTTCATAAATTATTTTCTATGCCAATAGTATCGTCTCGATATCAGTCTAACTTCAATCTTTTTCAGTGTGGCAAAGGAGTGAACGTCAAGGCTGCTTCCAGCACTAATTCATCTATTCCTGGCTGCTCTGCTAACTTCAGGCAGTCAATGCTAGAACCCTGGTACTGCCCAGCTGCTTTGCCCAAACCGGATCCTGGTCTTACTTGCAGGTAAATGAAGAAGTTTGCTCTGTTTTGTGATTCCTTGAGTTAATTCACTCCTCATGACTAGGCATTTTACAAAAACTTGTCGTTCAGACCACTGATTTTTTACTGATTAAATTAAAATTGTTCTTTGCTAACCCAGAATATTTGTAAACTTTGCATTCAATGAGATGTAAAAATAGCAATAATGCTGATTGTATCTTTTTTATAATCCATGATCTGTTTTCACCCTCAGTTTCGAGACCATGTCATGGAACTTTGTTATCAAGAGATCCTAATAATAGATACTACCATACACTTTCCTTTTTGCCAGGAATGTGTTGTCTCGTATGCAGCTGGCCCTATTAAACCGCGCTCAGCGACGATGTTGTCCTCAGCTCTCCCACCATATAAGTGATCCTGAAGTGCCTACATCTGTGCCTGTAATAAGCAAGGGATCTGGGGCAACAGTGCTGAACCCCAAGCATGCACCCTTGAGTCAAGGAACTGCAGGAGCCTTCAGTAAGCCTGTCAAGACTGTGTCTCGTGCTCTTCAACTCGTCAATAAGAGTAAAATCGTAACAGCTCAACAGAAAGTCAAGGTTTGTTATTCATTTTACATGGAAAGGATTTTATTACACTTGATGTAATATTTATTTTCCTGCTTACTTTTTGTTGTCACTGATAGGCCCTGCGTTCAGTAGAAAATGATGTTCTAGTTTTTTAGCCACATCTGCTTTTATCCTGGCTCTATCTAATAAATTCAGTCACATGTATGTTGATTTTGATTGAGCTATCAAACTGAAGTTGAACTATAATAAAACTTGGACATTTTTATGGTTAATAGAGCCAAAAGCTCAGCATACTAGTAATTTTTTCAGGGGGACTGTATTTTGTAGTGATTACATTTATATAACACACTCTTTTTGAAATGCATACCACCTGGACAATCTCCTAGGTTTCCAAAGTTCAAAGTTTACAACCTATTGAGAGAGTGATGTATTGGTTCTCAACTTTATTATCATCATATTTGGACTTTATATCTGTGGTTGAGGGAGTGATGCACCAATTATTCTGCCTTGCTAAAGGTTCTGCCTCTCCTTGAAATCTTTGCATCCAGTAAATTACTTCATGACCTCACTATTTGCTTTCAACTTGTTGAAATTTGCCTGCACCACTTCATCACATTAGCTAGTAGGTATCTTCTGTCCATAGACGCTTAGATCTGGATAATTGATACTTCTCTTAATTGTAGTATTGCTAAAGTTCCTTTTGTTTGCTGCTAAGAATGACTCGTTTTGACTGGCTTTTGACACTCCAGAGACCTTGTTTTTAGCAAAGTGTTGGCTCTGCTCCACTGTCTAATGATCATTTGATATATGCTAAGCTTGAGTAAGATATAGGTTATACTAATAATTTTAGACTTGGATTATACAAATAGTAAGTTTTTTTATTTATTCAGTTTCTTTTGTCAACATTTGTCGACATTATTTTGAATCAAATTTTCAGGTCTTTCAATTCTGGTTTTAATGTTTGATGAACTTATAAATTAGCAGTGAATATTTTTTGGTGAATGCCACATACCGTCAGCATCGTTGCTTGCCAATGTAAATTCAGCCGAGAAGTTGAATGAATAATTGTTGTAACATCAATAGATCAATAGAGGTTGTCTATGGCTGTGTAAACAATTCCGCTAGTTGGAAATAGCTTCATTAGTGTTAACATGGAAATTTCTTCATGAATATTAACATGTTAATTTTCTTATTTTTTCCCACTCAGGAGCAACGTGATGAGGAGGAAGAGCAGGAAGTTGCTCAGAAGCGACGAGCTCTCCAATCCAGCTTACGTTCCCAGAAATCACAGGCCATCATGAGCAGCGCCCTCAGCAACATTCAGGACACTACGGTTTGCTTTGAAAATAATCTTTGTTATATCCTCGATTGATTATTTATGTTCCATAAGTAATTGAGATAAAATTTGAAATGAATTTCTTTTCTTGTTAGTTACAAGTTGAATTCTGGAATGAAATGTCCTATAAAATTGTGAAAAACTTTGATGAGTTATTTAGTTGACTTAGTGACATCCATAATATGCTTGAAAAGTCTACACCAGCGCAAGTTGGCACTGAAAAGTTACTCATAGATAGTATTTCTGCTGCATGCTGATGCCATATATTCCTTCTAATCATCAGGACGCTGTCACTGTGACCCAGAGTCTCATTAACCTACGGGAGTCGGTGACTGGCAAGTCTGGTGTTGAAAACGACACCACTGAAAACTCTGACATCTTCGGCATTGCTCAGACGATCATCAATCTTGCTCTCATGCACGTGCGGTCTGCGTCTGAGACGTCAGGCGCAGGAGCCACTGATGGCACTGGCACTACCTCGGCTCCATCTGGGGTGAGCTAGCAGTTTGCATTTCATATTACTATTTAACCAATATCAGAGGCTAATTTCCTGCGAAAACCATATTCTTCTCCGTAAACAAATTTTTTTCATTGCTCAACACTTTTCAAATGTCACTTATTCATGATTGATGAATGATAATTAATTCAGAGTCCATTAGTCTTCACAAAAAAGCTTAGGAATTATATGAGCTGAGCAGCTGTCAGATATGTAATATAATTCATGCAATTAGCATGCAACAGCTCATCAGTAATTACCAAATTAAATCTTAGAACTATATTTTCACTATTAACTCATGATATGATGGTATGACTTTAGGAAATTTCCTTATTATGGAAATATATCCTTTGAACTGTTTGATCTCCTTTAACTATTACATTCAAGGTTAGAACCCTTCCCGACGTGTACACGCAAGAAACTTGAATTGAGGCAAAGACTACTCATTAAGGAAGCAAATGTAACAAAAAATTGCCATAATAGATTTTGGAGTTAAAATAACGTTCTTGCAAAAGTTTTTAGCCCACGTCCATGAAATGATTTATGATTGTCTAGCCTCAGTCTACTCAAGAACTTCAGCCAATTTGTAATTCGCTCTTGATATATTGATGTATAAAAAATTTTCATGTTTTCATTTCTATATTAGTTTTAATTTATCTTGCGATTGAATGACGTGTAACTTGATGTTTGTGATTAGAATTAGAATCTCCAGTTTCTATTGCTGCATGATTCCGTCTTGATTTTAAGTTGAAACTGATGTTCCGTGGACATTTTCATTATCAAAGACACCTCCCATTCAGCTTGGTCTACGTGAGGTGCTTGCTGGAGTGATGCTGACAAGCCGAGATATTGCAGCGCTGCCAAGAGATTACCAGCTACAGCAATACGAACTGCACACTCTTTTGCACCTCGAAACAATGTGGTTAATGGGTCAGTTATGTAGCCAGAGCTCTCTCCCTTGTGTGATTCTTTCCTCATTTCATACTATATTGACACAATGTATTTAACTATATTTTTTTATTTTCTTAGTTGATTGGGAACTTATTGGGCTGACAAGTGTTGGAACAGTAATGTTAGTTTCCCATTTATATTTTGCCAGGAACATTGATTTATTTTTTTTCCCATATTAGGAACTCATATCTCATCTTGTGTGTCTTTTAATATAACTATAACTTTGTTAGTGAAACCTCACTGTTAATTATTTAGATTAAATTAACCAAAGTTTTGTATCAGGATATTCTTCTGGAAGCGAGTCATCTACAGAGACGGTTGGTCAGGAACAAGATCGTCGCGGCGCCGAGAGGGAGGCTCACATTGAGGAGATCTTGCGACTCCTCAGAGGCATCACCCTTAACTTCAACCCCAACACAACCACGTTCTTTCTCAACCAAACCATCCTGGTCAAGTGAGTTAGTTATTCTGGGTTAAATTGATTAGGATTCTTTCTATTTTTGATTTGATTAATTTTATTATCGTGTTTCTTTTGCTTTAAGAATAGCCTGATCTTGCTTCGATTGATTTTGATTTCTTGTTCTTTTTGTGTAGTTTAATTGGGAGTTTTCTCCTCTATGCATATAATTGATTACAATTTGTTGTTCGTCTGCTTGCTTGCTTGTTCATCGGTAAATTTTTACTGCTGCTGTAAAATATATTTTAGAGTGATCCCTCTTGTTACTTAGTTATCCTAACAAAGTTTAATATACGACCAACATTTTTTTTGTCATCATTGTTCATAAGTTTTTATTTGCTTATGTCGAGGGAAATAAGTTTCCATTTCTTTCCACTCTACTGATTTGGACTAAAAAGAACTATGATAATCAAGTGTTATTTAATGATAGTTGCTTGCAATATTTCGTTGATATTAATATTTTAATTTTAATAATTATATAGATTAATAATTAATTGAATAATTTGAATAACAATAATTTGTCTGTCGTTAATGTAAACCTAAGCTTAGCATAATCATACCGTGAAAGATTATATTAAATGAACTCTCTGATTTATAATTCCATATGGTGATGTGAGGTATTTTAGCGGGATAGTCTTCGCTGCCTGATTCAAGCGTGTTCAAAATATTAACTTACTATCCCAATTCAATTTTGTACTAGATCTGTTGAAATCAATTAAAGTAATGTTCCATATGTTCTGTACTAATTATCATTTAACAGTTATGAAGATACTCTGCCGGATGTGCTCATGGAAATTTTTGAGGAGCTTGGTCAGCCCGTGCCACCCAGTCTAGCAGGGCCGCTCTCAGTCAACACCACCGCCGACACGCCGCCCCTGCAGCAGCTCCAAAGCTCCCAGTCCTCCGTCATGTCCGCGGTGAGTCTTCTTATGCAGAGTGAAATAGCAAAGTCTTTGTAGCGCATTTTCTCATTTATGGAAAAAATGCACTATTGTGATCGCCATGTCCGTCTGTCTGTCCGTCCGTTCGTGACCTCAAGTTTTCATCGACGAGAAAATGCGCTGTCTGTCACTCACTGCAGTAAGTACATACTAAGTTATTTTTTTAGAGAGTTTTTTGTTCCATCTGGTTCGAAGCTTTACAATCCTAGGCCATACAATCTTATTTGTATCTCTGACTGATAGTCTTCACAACATTATTGATAAAGACGATCAAGTTATATGCAAAGCCTGAAGAAAAATTAATTTTTTCTTAGTTGGAACTATTGAAACCGTTGCGTTAATAAATTGATAAAACAAAAAATAGTTTTTTTGCTAGTGTTATAATCAGACATGGTAATCATATGCATGGGGCATGTAATTATAAAAGTAATATATTGACAGGGCAGCATGGTTGGCAGCGGCGGTGGCGGTGCTGTGCTGCGGCGCCGTAGGAGCAAAATAGCGGTGCTGGGGGGCGGGGAGGGGCGCCAGGTCTTCGTGCCTGGCTCCAGGATGGCGAGGCTCACGCGCGCATCCAGTGACAACGTGCAAGGTTAAAAAACCCATTAGGATTAAAGCTATAAATACATTGAAACGTAAATCAAAAAATACATTAAACTATACTGGGTCACTGACCTCTTGCTCAAAATAAAAATACAAAATTTTGTTAGTCGATTGGATAACTAAAATGAAACATTAAGACAGACGAGCAGTTCTGATCTTTTTTCGTGTGTACCCAGCTGATAAACATCATATCACATTCCGCAAGCAACATAGATTTGTTTTCACGTGTACTGTCAAATTTCAATACTCTGATTAAACTAAAACAATGTCTCGTGACTATTTTTTCCAATTCACATTATTTAATTGTTTGAATACTCACTGAGGGTTTTCGTCTTTGCCTGCTATTCAGTACTTTTTAAAGCCCCATCATCTCTCAAGGTTTGTGATTTTTTTTAAACAGAAATAAAGTATGTTTTTCTGTCCTCTTCTTTTTAGTACTATTAGTGAGCTTGGTACAATTTCTATGTAGTTTCAATAAATTTATGTTCATCTCGTGCAATATTCTGAAATTCCATTCATTTTTAAATTTTCATCCATATCTACAGTTAGCTACGAAATTATTCGTACACCCCTTCATTTTCAATGTTTTCTTCAATAACTCTAAAATTAATGAATGTATCGGCCTAAGATTTGATTGAACTAAACAGTACCTATATAATAGGAAAAATAACACTACATTCTCAGAATAGAATTTAATTTCAAAACGTTTTAACCTGCAAAAACTCCCAAGCACCTTCAGACACAATTATTCATGCAGTTGGAAAATACTGACATAGTTGCAATATTAATAATCAATGGCATATCCTTTCATCTTGATAACCTCCAGCAGTCTCTTTGTATAATTTTTGATGAGTTTCGCAGTGGTCTCTGGTTCGATGTTATCCCATTTTCAAATGCGGCTTGTTTATCATTATTGATTCTAACTTTCAATTCTTGCCAACAATTCACAGTTGGGTTCAAGTCAGGGCCGTTTGCTGGCCATGGAAGAACCAGGCACCTTCATTTTATTAGGCTATTAATAAAAATGTATTAAGGTTGTATCTTCCAATATATGCTTCAAATCACTATCTTTCTGAAAGATCCACCGCTGTTCAAGACCCAAATTTAGAGTGAATTTTTGCAAATTTCCTTTCGAAATTGATTTTTAAACATCTTAGTTTATTATTCCATCAATTGGAACCAACTTCCCTGTGCCACTTGAAGATAAACAAAGCTCAAAACATCATTGACCCACCTCATGCTTGACTATTGGGATTGTGTCCTTCAGAAGGAAAGCGTCCCTTTTTTTGTGCCAAATCTTCCTTGTATTGTGATCTCCGAATACTTCAATTTTTTCGCGACACTCTATGATACTTGGTAATAATAATATAATACTTCTTCTTTGTCCACGTGAGATCTTGCGAATTTCAAACGAGCAGCAACATGACCTCAGGTGTGAAGTGGGACTCATCAAGGTCTGCATCCATGCAGGCCATTCTTGTTGGGACAACGCTTTGTGGTCCGCTGATTCATGCTTGTTCCTTCACTGGCTTATCTATTGGCAGTGTCCTTCAATACCACTCTTGGAATCATATATACCTCACGACGCAACTGCTGAACTGAATATTCCGATAATTTTGGCTTCGGTCCTCGTTCCGGGCAACATGTGTGCAGTACCTAACTGTACAAACTTATTCATCACTGACTCTATTGTTTTTCGAAATGCACTCATTACCATTGCGCCAGATTTGTGTAGGTCAATAATTTTGCTTCTCAAGTCTACACAGAGTTCCTTCGTATTGTTCATCTTAAGTTTGCAGTCAAATTGCAGGAACCGGCACCTCTTGAATGACGTCACCAATAATAATGTCACCGGGATAATATTCAACCAGAGACCACTGTGAATATCATCAAAAACAGTAGAAAGAGACTGCTGAAGGTTATCCAAATGAAGGATATGCCATTGATTATTAAAATTGCGACAATGTTAGTATTTTCCAACTGTATGAATAATTGTGTCTGAAGGTGTTGGGAATTTTTGCAAGTTAAAAAGTTTCGAAATTACACTTCGTTCTGGAAATGTCGTGTTAGTATTCTTATTACATACTGCTTAGCTCAATCAAATCTTAGGCTCGTACATCCATTAATTTTAGAGATATTCAAGAAAATATTGAAAAGAAAGGGATGTACGAAAAATTTCGTCACTAACGGTATTTATACAATTATACATGTTTATAACACTTGAAAGTGATAGTGTTTACTGATATTATGCTATCAAGTATCTATTTCATTATCATAACATGACATATGATAATACCCTGGCATCTTGTAACCTCTCACTCAACTGCAGGCACGAACACAAAAACTAAAGGCAAGAACAACGTTCGTCGCAGTCTCTTTGAAGGCCGCAGCAATGGTTTGAAGAGAAGCCAAAGCTCCTTAGTGACTCCACAGCCACAGAAGCGTCGTCGTAGTGTGCAGAATTCTGACGACTCCTCGCAAGGCCCTGCAAAAGTTAGAAAATTCTCTATCTTACCCAGGGAAGAGCAACGCACTAGAAGGCGAAAAAGTAGCTATAACCGACAGGAAGACGAGCGTCAGGGACCCAAGTCAGGAAGCGAGCTCTTCACGCCACGTCAGGGACCCAAGTCGGGAAGCGAGCTCTTCACGCCGAACAAGAGCGATCTCCTTGCATCACCCATAACACCTGGTCGTCGTCTCAGACCATCAGCCAGTGCAGGTTACTTAATCATCACAAACGCCTAAATCTATAATTTATGTAATTTTTAATTAATTAATAATATTTAATTTAATAATAATTTATCACTCTTTATTTGCCAGTTCTGCATTCATCCCTGTTGAATTACTCTTCTTTAATTACATCCCCGTTTAATTAGTAATTAGTTTAATTCCTGCTCGTTTAGCGTGCCAGACATGGGTGTCCTTTTGCTGCCTCTGATTTCACTGGACCTTGTTACTTGCAATCCTCGTCTCTGAAGAGTAGTATTGGCGTTTGAGCCAAAACATTTCATTATGTCATAATTATGATCTATTTCGTGGTAATAATTGTACATCCAACTGTTTTATTACATAGGCCGCACGATAATGTAAATATATATTTACGTTTATTCGCAGTTAACTTGAAGATGCCTTTTTAAAGATGATTCTCCAGTATGTGCGACTTCTGTATCTCTAAGAGCGTGTCGACTGTGTCATGTACCAGGTGGAGTTTGGCGACATGGTTGCTCATCTCCTTGGTCGCTCCTTAACTTCTGTATCTCTAAGAGCGTGTCGACTGTGTAGGTAGGATTCCTTACATTTCCCTTCACTGTCTCTCTCGTGCAGGCGGCCGACGTCCCGTGTAAGCGACCTCTTGTTCGAGTGTCTTAGTTTCTGTTGCTTTTCACCTGTCCCTCCTTGTCACTTAATCTCTTTGAGATGCTAACGCTGCTTCTCTCGAGTCAGCTTCAGCGGGCTGGACAATGGAGACCTTCCGCCCCTAGTGGGTGATGATTAATTTGAAATATTGAATAATTGAAACCTTCCGCCTTCTGGCGATGTTATATTTTGACCTCCGGTGCGAAATAGCTTGATACCTGAAGCGCTAGCAAACCGTTATACTGCTTCTACTACTACTGTGTCATGTACCAGATGGAGCTTTGGCGCCGTGGTTGCTCATCTCATTGGTTGCTCCTTGACTTCTGTATCTCTAAGAGCGTGTTGAATGTGTCGTGTATCAGGTGGAGGTTTGGTGCCTTGCACGCCGTCTCATCTCATTGGTTGCTCCTTGACTTCTGTATCTCTAAGAGCGTGTGGAATGTGTCGTGTATCAGGTGGAGGTTTGGTGCCTTGCACGCCGTCTCATCTCATTGGTTGCTCCTTGATTTCTGTATCTCTAAGAGCGTGTTGAATTGTGTCGTGTATCAGGTGGAGTTTTGGCGCCATGCACGCCGTCTCATCTCATTGGTCGCTCCTTGTCGGCAATGCGGCGTAGTGATGGAGGGCCGGTCGTTGCTGAGAGTCCCGAGCTTAAAGGTCAGTTTTCTTGCTTTGCTAAGTTCTGAATGCCCTTCAGATTTAACACCTATTCGATCATAATTTAGTAATTGAAGGAGAGGTATGGTTTAAAGTGCCAATATAATGATTAAATTAAAAGCCATCACAGTTCCCATTTCCTGACATCAATATCTCGTATCCTAAACGGTGCTCAAAGTTGTCCAAAATTTTCTGGACTTTTTGAATGGATGATTTTTCCTTATTTGAAAGCAAAGTTAGTTAGTTGAAATACGCAAAGTACGTATAAAACATTATACTTAGTTTTTAGTTTATTTTTACTAAAATATTTTTCTATCAGGTGAAAGTGTTCTTTCAAGCCAGCGACCGATGACAGGCCGAACGTCTTTCTATTCTGGAGCGCAGTCTCGGAATTGTGCGCGAGCTCGCACCACTCTCCTCGCGCAGCGACTGCAGAGCAACTGTTCCGAAAAAGTCCTCAGCACATCTTTGAATTGCGACTCTTCTCAGCAGCCTCACGCAAATGCAAATGTTACTGCGTCAAGTTTTCTATTCTCCAAAATTTTTACTTCTGCTTCTCTTGCCACGGATGCGACTAAGAATGTTGAAACAAAACTTGATAGGCGTAGAAGTCTGCGTCGTGCTCTTAATTTCGATCAATTTGAAAATAATGTACAGTTGAAATCTGTAACATTGGGACTCAGTCCTGCCAATAGAAGAGTCACTCGAAGCTTCAATGACGAACACACGTCTCCTTTAAAAAAAGTTTCAAGAACTCTCTCACTTGACTCGCCACTCAAGAAAGTTACCAGAGCCTCTTCTTCGGGTACTCCTATTAAATCTGTACGCTACAGCTCTCAAAAAAACCAACATTTTCATGCCAAGTCACCGTGCACGCCAAAACGCCGATCAAGCGACAACGACCGTCTTATTTCATTGGAATCTTTTTCAGAAATATTGACGCCTAGTAAACGGGTTCAGTTTAGTCTGTTGAACACACCCAGCAAAGCTAATACAAATGCCAGTTGTGCCACAACCCCTAAAAGCATATTGAAAACACCGACACGTGCACCGCAAAATCCGAGCTGTTCACGCACTCCTCGCACTTGCGTGACTCCCTCACGGCGGCCTCTGCTCGTTTTCCGCACTCCCCGTAATCACGCGGTTTTCAGTCCCGATATTTTTTCATGCGGTAAAAGCGGTGCCTCATTCCTCAGCCCCGTCAAAACCCCTGCCAAATCACCGGCTTTTCCCTCTTCAAAATCCCCTGCCAGATATACGCGTGACTCCGGTGAAAATTTTACTTCGTCCCGCATTCGTGATAAAAAAATCACACCATTTGTCATAATGAGCCCTTCGAAAGGGAACTCAAGGGTGGACCCAATTCACGCGATAGTCCCAAGCCCTGACAAACGGCAATTTTCTCTTCTGCATAGGGATTCTACTGATGGCTCGATCGCATCACCCGACATGCAAGAGAACAACGCAACTGTATACCATGGCTTGGATTTATGTGATTCCTCCAAGGAATCTTCTTCCGACAAATTAGAATCTGATATAACTCCAAAGTCTGAATCACTTGGTACGCACACCGGTTCTCGCCTTTCCAAAGATTCTAATGATTGTCTGCCGTCCAATATTTCTGGACTTATGAGTGAAATTCCACCGTCTCCTGATAAACATCAAACTACTACACTCAAGAAAAGGACTGTGTGCAAATCAGCAGATGCCGGAGTTTCAGGCGCTAATGTTAATGGAACGGAAATAGATCCTTCTTCTGCTTCTAGGTTTATTCTACGCAATTCGAAGTCGCCAGTTACATTAGATGAATTTTTTACTATTTTGGATCGAATGACTGAAGAAAGCATCGGCCCTGAAGAAGTACCGACTTTATCTGCCAACGATATGTTGTTCACGAGAAGCTTACTTGATGGTCAAATGTGTGCTAATGCTGAGTCAATTCTTAACGACAATCTGAAGCTGGAAAGTAACGCATATGTTGAGCGCCTGCCTTCTGTATCGTCGCAGACAAACGATATTACGTTTCTTGAGAATGATAGTTTGTACGCAAAGGATCTCTCCGTTACAAAAACGTGCAATATTCAGCCTTTGCTCGATATATCTGCTATGATCGAGACCGATGAACAGGTTATCCAAACCAATGATTATTGGTTGAATCAGGAACACAATCACGAGACAAGCTACAGCAGTCCAGAAATTGAAATTTCTCCGACGATCAAAAACTCGGTCGAAAAATGTCTGTCTGCTCTGACGTTAGGTCGGCACTACAATGAGACCCTCCCTCCTGTAAGCCTTTCTTCGACGTCACTTTCATCGATGGTTGCATCCTCTACTCCTCTTAGTTCTGAAGGCAGGCATTCCCCATCTTTGGAAACGCTTCATCATACGAATCCCGTGGAAACTTCCCTCGTTCCGAACCTTTTGAATAAATCATCAAAGTCTCCTGAGGTGACGCCAATCAAATGTATGGACCCTGAAGACGAGTTCACGCGTGATGGAGTCGATCGCAATGATGCTGCCTTATCACCACAGCGTCTTACTTCGTTAACTGCAGAATATACTATCAAGACGATAAGTAATGAAACTCTTGGTGGTGACAGGCAATCTCCATCTATGGATATGCCTCATCATACAAAGCCCATGGAAACTTCCCTCGTTCCGAACATCTTAATTGAATCGAAGTCTACTGAGATGGCGTCAGTTAGTTCTTTGGATACCAAGGACAAAATAACGTCTGACGAAGTTAATCCCAATGATGCTGTTTTGTCACCAAAGCGCCGTACTTCGTTAACTGGAGAATCTAGTGTCAAAACGGTGCGTAATGCAACTGCAAGTGATAACGAACCAGATTTAGTAACTGAAAACGGAAAACTTGATGCACGATCGCCATGCATCAATAGTGCCGTGGATTTTTTGGAAAATAATAATGTGGACGAGGTAAATGTCATCGAAGCATGTACAGAACAACCTGCCTCACGCAACAAGAGGCCTGCAACAAGGAAACGTCGACATGGCACAGATCATAAATCCACCAATGGTACAAATGTCAAAAATTCTTTAAGAAATACAAGTTCAGACGGAGCATCTGCAGGAAGAAGAGGGAGAAGAAGGAAGCGTCAGCCATCAAGTGATGCAGGATCAAATTTCTCGATATCAGACATCAGCCTTGACGAATCTCGTTCTTCTCATGGTTTGGACCGCAACAGCTCTTCGTCTAGTTCAAATTCAACAGCTCCAATAATACCTGAAGGACGGAAAACTGAACGACGAAAACGACAAATCTCATCACTTTTGACTAACGACAAACCTGAGACTTCTTCTCGACGTATTTCTCGCTCTCATTTCATTGATTATTGTGAGGAGTGGAATGATTTCTCTGATGAGGAAAGCTCTATTGATGAAGATCTTCAATTAAATAAGTACGGAAAAGTGTCATCTATGGCCAAGAGATATGTTGAAACTCCTCGGAGAAAAGTTCCAATGAAAAATAAAGGAGAAATATTAGAAAAAGACACGGAAGAACCTGAAAAAGAAAACCTATATGAAATGCCAGCTGAACGTAGTCAACGACGCACTAGGTGTAATAAAAAGCTGTTGGACTGGACTGATATCGACGATTTCGATGATATTGATGAAGAGAGCGTCACAAATAAAAACGTTTGCTCCTCGGGAAAAATTGATTATTGCAAACGTACGGAAATCGATAGTGATCAAGAATTGCAGCCCAATGTCGGAAGTGTGTTTTCATCTAATAGCCTGGAGTGCGATCGTAGTCTGGGCGTAACTCCTTTCCAGAACGTGGCTAATTTCTCGCTGGGGCGTCGGCCAATGCGCAATCGTGCCGTCACTTCATACGTTGACTTCCCCTCAGACGACAGTGCTTTGGATGCTGAAAGTAGCTTAGATGGCAAACAGGACAGTTGTTCGTTATCGCAGAAACCACCTCAGTTCAAGATAGATAAATTCCTATCTTCGGTCGAGCGACCTCGGTCTCAGTTTAAAGCTGATCCTCTCGTATTAGATGTAGCCGTTAGCACTCCCAGCGACTGGAAGCAAACCAAACCCGTTCGAACTAGAGAGAAGTTATTGGAAGAATCATTGTCAAAAGCAGTTGATAACTTTCAAGAACCTTTGGAGAGTAAGAGGTATCGTGCTGACAAGAAAAAACGAGTCAAGAAGAAAACAGTTAAACTAAAATTCAAGAAGAGTGGCGATGAGTATCAAGTGAGTCGGAGCAACGTTTCGGGTGAATCATTGGACACTACAGCAAGCGATTTTAACTCAAGCGTGTTGAGCAATCCCCATACACGCAGCGAGGGAAAATCAAGTGAGAAGAAAAAGAGGAAGAAACTCAACAACGACTCATTTTTGACTTCACTTCGTTTCACGCGTCACATGTCCAAAGATTTAAGTATAACTCCTGAAGTTTTCCAAAAAATTGTTGGTGCTTCTCCGAACTCTAAGGCCGTGCGGCAGTCGCCCATGGCACAAGCCAAGCGTCCAGTGCCAATTATACCAAGTGTAACGTCCAACTCTGTTAAAAAACCTCCGGCGATCTTGTGTTCATCTTCTAAGAAAATTGAAAACATGTGGCGGGTTGAGAGCGTCCAAGGATCTCCTACCTTGAAGACGTTCATACGCGTTGGTGGCACTGACACGCCTCAACAAAGCCCCAAGTCACATCTGCACCCAAACCTTGCATCGCCCAGTGTTTCATCCATGCTGCACCTGGCCACTTCTCCTCTAATCAACGAAAACAAAATTTCTAGTCGCAATATTTCTCTACCAAGTAATTCAAAATTGGAAAAACCCGACAGCAGTGATGACGACTTTGATTTCACAGATTTGAAGAAACGGCGCAGAAGGAGAAGCAGCAGTTTTGATGCGGAAAATGTTCCTGCAGCCAAAAAACTTCGCAGTCGATCTCCTGTTCGCGTCCAACGACGGGCGAGTAAGAGGCTTTATCACTGAATTTGGCCTCTGGCTTCTGCAGGAAATCTCTGTGTTCAATTGCTCGACTCATTTTTCTTTAGCCAAAACGAGAGTGAAATTTGTTTAAAAAAATGAACAAGTGAGCAATAATTGAAGGTTTATCCATACGAAAAGAATCTTGGTTTCGTTGATTTGTGTATGGTTTAAAGTTGATTACCCTTGCATTTATCTGTTTAGCTGCTCGTCGCTGGTTATCCTTCGACGGCCACGCTGCTTTCCGTAACTGGTCTCATTTCCTGTAGATTTAAGCTTTGAAAATAATAATAATAATGGCATTTTTGTTGCATAAACGCCGTTTATGTTTTTCGTTTGTTCAATTATTTTTACATCGTTTTGTTCATTTTGTACAGCCATATTTGCATTGGCAAATAATGATCAATTAATGCGTTTCTTTTCTTGTATAAAACGGTGCTTGAAATAATTAAACCTGCACGCGATGTAATTTTATTAACAGGCTCTTTGTTGCACATCTCCCTTTGTGTATTAAATGTAATTGACAGGAATTCTTGACAATTCCTATCAATGTTTCTGGCAATTACGCGTCTTTTTTTTCGTTGAATGCATTTGTTGGTACGGTGTTCTTATTCGGCATTGTATCAGCGTTTTTTTATGTACCAAACATAACCTTGTCAAGCCACTAAGTTATTCTCGCGACTATGATTGATCCTAAATCTTTGGTTTCTTAAGCATTAATCGTTTGGGATTCATTTCGTTCAATGTTATACATTCTGATTTTTCGACGTGAGCCAAGTTATTCAATGGAGTGTAAATATATGTTTTATAATATTATCATTAGTTTTCTTTGTTGTCCTTCTTGAGCCAGTATTTCGATAGGTTTGGCTGCAAATAAAACTCAACCTAGTATTTCAATTACATCGAAAACGAATAGAGTCCTTATTTTATAAAAGTGAAGTCACAAACATGCCAGAAAATATGAAAAGGAAAGTTATACATGTGCGAAGTATTTCGACTGATTAAAACATCATTTTTGTGGTTCATGTTATCATGAGAACTGAATTGAAGTGTGTTATTTCAAACGCGTACATAGTTTCCCAAACCGCGTAGAACTCTCCGTATACAAACGCACGCTTCCGTTCACATCACTTCATTTCTCAGGTGAGCCGCTGTTCTGACATTCCCTATGTCGTGAGCCAAAACCCAACTGTTTCCGGTTAAAGTTGCTGCGAACTCTTGCTTGACAGAAACATAGATGCTTTCCGGTCAATAGGAGTTTCCGTCTCTCAGCTTGGTTGACATAGTTAGGACTCATGTTGGCAAATCTCTGACCTGAGGAACTACAGCAAAACTGCCGAGCGGAAGTCGTTGTTGCAGCTGCATGCCATGCCACAGTCGACGACTTCTCAACGGAATTTCTGTGAACTATATTGGTAAAATGTCTGAACGAACGATTCTGAATGATTTTATTATCATAAGTCGCGATCAGAATGTTAATAAAGTTTGAATCGTTGGCAACGAAAGAATTTCAAATCCCAAGTTCGTCATGGCGTAAATTTGTATTAGTGTTGTCACAGGAATGCTCTGTAGAAACTCATCAGTTGGAGTCGCAGATACCCAACGTATTTGTTCCAACATTTAACCTTCCAAATCCACTAACAAAGAAGTTTCATGCAATCAACCAAACTTAAACGCTTCAATAGCCACTGCGACAGTAATGGACAGCGTAAGGCTAACTCTTTCATCTGTTGGTACCTAGATAACAGACCTACAAAGAGCCACGATTCTCGATTATCTTTCCGGTACACATCTCGACTCCTATTAGTCCGTCTTAACTTAACACACGCATGGATATAAATCATTTAATGTTGCATTCCCGTTCAGCTATTTACAGGTTGATTTTAAAATTTAGATGAAGTAATTGCAAGTTTTGCTGAACCGGAAGCGATCAGTGTGAACGATGAGCAACTGGGAAAATTGTTCAACCTCTTAAACGCACCAGTGAGAAGTCAATTAAAGTAGATTTTCTCCCTTTCAATTTATCACATTTGAATTTTTGTCTGGCCGCCTTGCATTTTTCAAATTCTCGATATTAGATCGGATTCTTGGGTGTGCGAGAGATTAAATGCATGCCTTGGCAGAGTCCTACTGTTCGTGCAGATTGTGACGACTGCTACTTTTCTTTAAACTCATAATTCTGAAACACGATATTCGAAGCGTAGTTCATTGCTTAGACGCCCATCACAAATAAACTCTGTTATGTCATCATATGTGAATTATAAATTATGATGAGGCACTTCTGAGAGGAGGCTTTCATCTGTTGCTAATAAGCCAGTCATTGAGGTGAACTTTGAAGAAACAAAACTACGACTTCTTCAGGACAAAGTTGCGAGCTCGATGATAACTCATTTTATAGATTTTAATAACTGATTTATTAGGTTGATCTGACAACTGATTGTGGTTAAAATTGATTTTTTCCACCGTTAAAAACTTAGGTGATCAGATTATCAGTGACTTCATCTGATTTTAGCACACGGTTAACACTTTGTTTTACGTTTAGTAAAGTTTGCAAGCTTGGGTTCTATCTTCGACAGTTTTTTTTATCTAATATGCTTTTAGATAATAAGGATTTCATCTCGTTGCCTCTTTCCTCCATAATAAATGAAGTTTAAATACGAACCTTCTCTATTGTTCTGATCTCCTAAAAAAAAGGAAATCCTCATTTTGCTGCTTGTGAATTTGCTACAGAAAATGTGTCGATTTAATTTTCTTCAATTTAATGCTATAGAAAGTGTGTGGATTCATTTTTTCAGTTTAATGCTATAGAAAATTTGTAAATTTTAATGTTTGTGTATTTGCTCTAGCGCATTCAATTGAATAGCTAATGGAATTTTTCGTGACCTTGACGAATCTTATAAAAATTCTTGGATACTTTAATTGAAATACTCGCGGTTGAAATTTCTTACGTCTACGAAACCTACATTTTTTCGAAATACTTCCCAACGTTTTCATTTGTACGACCGTAAAAATTCCTTGCATAATAAGATGGTGACAGAACGTATATCGTTCAATAATTCTGAATCTCCATTTTCTATGCCTCAATACGGTCTTCATAACGTCGCTCTATGTCTAGATCAAAGCACTCGCCGTTTCGCTTTTCGGTCAGCAGGAAAAGTAGAGACGTTTTCGATCATATGGCTGCCCCTGATCAGAGCAAGGAATTAAATGACTGCATATGTCATACTAATACAAACACTAGATGCCCGTGGTAATAGTAGCTCGCTTATGTATACACAAAAGTGTTACAATAAAACAATTGCAATACATAAGAGTTTTGGAATTAGGGAATGAACGCTATTGTATATTAATGTAATATGTTTCAGTCTATTTAGTCCTGCACACAATTTTAGTTTTACATTTTTAGTCCTGCACAATACACACCAGTCTATTCAGGTCTGCATATCATTCTAATTAGTTACACAGAGCATTTTAGTTATTTCTACACTTCTTTTAATTTATGTCGTTATTCCTAGTCGCTATTCGAAGTAAAAAAATATAACTCAGTACTCACTGCAGTGAGTGACAGAGAGCGCATTTTCTCGTCGACGAAAACTTAAAACACGGACATACAGACAGACGGACATGACGAGCACAGTAGCGCATTTTTTGCATAAATGAAAAAAATGAGCTAATAACAACGAATAAACTGATCATTTGCCCTCAGTTGCCTGTATTTAAAGATCACTTCAGAAATTTAGACATGCCGAATGAAATGATTACTTATTTCTATGATCTTTTATGGCTATGGATCGTAAACTGATGTAAATTTTCACCCTGAGATAATTTAACAGAAGGTTTCCGAGGCAATGGCGAGGTAACAGACAAATAATTATTGGATATCGATTTTGACAATATTTGTTCAGAAAAGTAACGAGCTTATTGAGGCACGTTAAATTGGATGACAGGGGAAAAACGTCTGAACCGCAACGACCGAAGACTGAAGCTGAGGTGCCGGGAAGAAATTGCCACCATGCAGGGCCGGTGTCAGGTATATAAGCAGCGCCGCGTGAGGGGTCACTGCCAGTCTCTGCTGTGCGTTGGTTGCTGGCAGGGCTCCGTCAACTGCAAGAGACTGACGACATGAAGAATTATATTGATTTAGAACGAGCTACTCCAGTGATCGAACTACTCTAGTGATCGAACTACTCTAGTGATCGAACTACTCTAGTGATCGAACTTCTCCGTTCGAGTGTAAGAAAAAATGCTTAAAATTTATTTTCCTAAGCACGGAATTCTCAATAATTTATTCCAGAAAGGGATGCAATATATATGATCAGATAGGAATGAATAAATATATGATCAGGTAGGGGTGTAATATATATGATCAGATAAGGATGTAATAAATATATGATCAGGTAGGGGTGTAATATACAATATCATCTATATATATGGTGTCATCTATAGTGGTAGTGTTTCCGTCTTTTCTTTAATTGGTCCTTTTATCTTTTTTTCAACATTTTTAATTACTACATCTTCTATATGCGACATTAGTCTTAAATTAAATTAATTTTAACGTACACAACAGGCGATATTGGCCAACATACCTTTACATCTCACTGAGCGTAAGTCAACTTTGCTAAAGTCACCACTTATGTCCGTTATAAATAATTTATTTCAAGGCCAAAATCCGGAGATCGAAATATAATAATTTAAAATGTCAAATAAGTGATGAAAACAAAAGTACAAATTAGCTCTATTCAGATAGAGTTCCGCATGAATGAAGTCATCGCCACAACAATGTCGGTTAACTGAGTGCTTTGATGTCAGTTGATGATATATGGGTGCTGAGTTCAGTTCATCGAGTTTTCCCTTATATGTTACATAACTGATATGTTGATCGCAAGATTTGATCGCTTGAGTGGCTTCAACGATCGATAGGCTTTATCATCAGATTGTACCTCTGGCCAGACTGGGTGCATTATTGTTCAGTAAACGATATACTCCATTAATGTTGTATGCATGGTTGTCTCCATCAATGTTCTATGTATGGTTGTCTCCATCAATGTTGTATGTATAGTTGTCTCCATCAATTAATGTTGTGTATTAATTTCACCTTGATTTTGGCAGTGCACATACTCGTGTAAATTAAGGGGAGGTTAATAAATCAATTAAAACGTTATTTATTCTCTCAGAGAAGTGGTAAAATAACAAATAATCGGTAAATTCTTATTTGAATTGGGTACAGAAAGTTTTGAGAAGATAATTCACAAGTGCAAGCAAGAGGAAAAAGAAGAATTTAAATAATAAATCAGACTCGATTATCTAATGAGCGTCGAGCATTTTGAATCAGAAAATATGTACGAAACTGTTTTGCCAAAATTGTCAATTGTTTCAGCGAACCTCTCTTCTAACAATGAACACCACTCGCAGTGAACCACTTAATGCACATTTGAACCCTTGACTTACTTATTCCACTCAAATTCTAAATTTAGATTTCTTTAAATGTAGATTGAATTGAGGTCTCTTAACAATTAGTCTGTCAGCTTTGAAATTAAAGCTGCAAAAGAAGTCGATTTCGTGTATTTACATGTTTTATATGAATGGATGATATGGTCTCAAAACATTATAGAAGCAACAACTAACATTTAATTAAATGACGGAAAAAACACTTTAATTATCAGTAGAGGTAAATCCACATATACATATTTCGTTCGTTATGAGAAGCTACTCATCTCGAATATTGATGTAATCCTAGTGAGACATAATTATAATTATAATTAATTATGCTAACTACCTTCTAGTTATATTATCATCTACACCATGAGTTCACGGCCTTCCTCTATACAATTGTAACAGCCTCTCAAATCTTAGACAGTTGAAAGGTCTTTATAACAAATTAATATCTTATCTAGATGAACCGTGCGATTGAGCCAAAATTTTCTAAATTATTTTTATGACTATATTTTACTTAAATTTTTATCTTGATTAATTATACCTAAACTCATACTTATATATAAACGACATATTGAGACGACAGTTGACCAGACCAACAAGAGGTGCCCCCTTATACCTAGAGTAATTAAAAAATTACATCCCGATTTTGTTGCAAATCGAATGAATTACATTGTCGTTTCATTTGTCCGAAAATTTTTATATGCTAAACGTTGAGTGATCGGCACGCTATGAAACGAAATCAATTTTTTTTTCGTTGAACGGTTAGAAAATGAGGTGCACGATAACATGCCACGTTATTTATATTTTGATCGCGTCCATATAGTACAACTACTTAGTTTCTTGAACTGGAATCGGTTGATGAATTTTGTTAGAATCCTCGCATTTTTATCGTCAACAAATTAAAAAAAAAAACAATGAACTATCACAAAGAGTATCAGTGCACAGGTAGCATCCAGACACCTGAGTTGCTTTCAATTCTTCGGTTGATGAGCCCGCAGTGGACCTGATGTTCGGGAACCACAAGCGGTAGAGCTAATGAAATTAAGGTTGAACCTGCCCCTACAGAAGTACTGAGTTTCTTAATTTTGATTTTGACTCTTAACATATATTGAACGAAAATTTCATTTGATACCATATGAAGACTTCCATGAGGTGTATTTTTATGTCGATATTTTTGGTGAAGGTGAATTTTTGATGCACGTGAATTTTTGATGAAGGTAAATTTTGGATGAAGGTTAATTTTTGATTAAAGTGAATTTTTAGAGAAAATTTATTTTCGATGAAGGTGAATTTTTGATGTAAGTGAATTTTTCATGCAGGTGAATTTTTGATGTTGGTGAATCTTAGATGTAGTGAATTTTGAATGTAAGTGAATTTTGAACGATATCTTTAAGATTAATTATGTCATTTAAACTTCTCAGGTTTGATAGCATTTAATAGCTTTAAAAATTCACGGAGGTGACTGCTTTACTTGTTTACTTGTTATAATTTATTAATACACACGGAATTTATTCCATATCAAAATTGATAACACCTCTAATAACTGATAAACTATTAGTTATGACGGACGCAAAGATGCCGGTTGAAGGATGCCGCTCAGCGTCGCCCCCGAAAGAACATGTCGGCGTTCGGGTGGACGGTATAGCGAAATCAACTCAGTACTCAATAAATGATTACATCGGAGAGAGGAAGGATGTGCAGAAGCCTGGCAGGAGTAAATGTCTACTGAAGGATCCTAAGCCAGACTACGATAGTAACAGTAAGATGCTAAATGTTGTTTATTAATTTCAGCAAAAAAATTATATCTTAACCCAATAAGGATGCAGAGTTGGTAGACTAGTATTATTGTGTTATGAGGCGTATTCATGATACACACGAAATAACCATGATTGATACTCAATTATTTATTGTTAGCATAGCGACAATATCGTTCCTCGTTTGTATAGACACAAAATTGGTTTGTAATGCTAAAAAATCGAAAAAAAATATTTTCTCTTATTGCTATGAGAACGATAAAAAGCCCAACCAATTTCTTAGCCACTACAGCGAATAAAATTCATAGAGTTACACCAGGTATTTACTACTCTCAGGGAGTATTTTTCGTTCCGGTGTTGGAGGCTTTCGGTGAATCCCGAGCCCGGACAGCTTGGGCCTTTTCCATCAACTCTGCCGTCCACCAACTCGCCGGTCCGCTGGGCGGTGTCATCATCCGCAAAATAGGGCCCAGGAAGACCTTGTTCATGTCAGGCATAGTCGCTGCTCTTGGGTACCTTGGCTCAGCCTTCGGCCAGTCCCTGTACATCCTGTACATTAGCCTGGGCGTCGTAAATGGTAAGTGAAAATTTGTCGTCCATTACAATTATTACCGTAATGACAATAGGTTTTGAATTATACGTATTATAAATAAATATTCAGTATCACTTCACGAGAACCCTAGGTTCTGAATAACAATTACAAAGAGATTTGAATTCATCACTTCAGCTTTATATTCAATTATCTTTCATCCAACAATTCCAGGTGTGGGGACCTGCCTGAACTACTACGCTTGGATTGTTGGTCTTTCCTTGTACTTTGTCGAGAAACGGGGGCTCATGATGGGCCTCGCGATGGCCGGGTCCGGCGTCGGGGTCCTGACCATCGGCCCCGCCATCGCTAAAGCCGTTCCTGAAATTGGGTGGCGAGAATCAATGATACTCTGCGCCGGGCTATCACTTCTCTTCGGTATTTTTGGAGCTCCAGTGTCGAGAAAAGTACCTAACAAAGGCATGGATGAGTCAGACAAGAAGTTTGTCGACGTGGTTACAGGCAAGTGCCGTGCTATTTGGGAAGTCGTTCCATCACTTTGCTCATGTGGAGTGTACCAAGTAAAACCCCAAAACCTGGGGAATAATGCCTCGGATACCATAGTGGCCGGCGGATTGGTTCAAGGAAATGAGTCAACAAAAGACGACTACCTCCTCAGTTCCCACAGAACGCAGTGGCGAGTGCTGCTGTTCTCGAGCGTGCTCTACACGGTTGCAAGTAGCGCATTCTTCACACTTCTCAAAGATTGGATCAACAAGATTGGTCTTGAGGACATCACACCCACAGCTTTAATCCTCATTGGAGTAGGCGACATTGTCGGACGTCTGGTAGCAGGAGTTGCGACATGGCAGCTGGCGAAGCATCGCACGTCAGATGTCATCTTGATCGGCGTGGCCCAGTTGCTCTTGTCCAGCGCCCTGGTGGGAGCCGCTTTCACCGAGTCTTCAGTGGGTGTCCTAGCCTCAGTTTTTGGTATCGGCACGAGCATGGGATTTCAAATGGTGCTCATGGCGGTGTCTCCCATGAAAAACAATAATATTGAAGGATTGGGTGTAATTTTATTGCTGGGAGGCCTAGGTGCTCTCGTAGGTCCTCCAATGGCAGGGTATCTGGTAGACGAGCTCGATAATTATAAATATGCTCTTATGGCCACTGCGGCGGCGCCCATGTTAGGTGCTGTAATTTGCCTACTTTGTTTCTCTATAATAAAATGCAAAGCGAGACAATTTAAAAATATATCACAGCAAAATACAGATTACTCGTAGCATCTCATTTTATTGACGGCTAGCCGCTTAGTCCAAAATGATTGTAATTGAACTATTTACTTTACAACAATGTTCAATTACAAAGCTTTGGCATGTATTATCACGAGCAAGTCCCAGTATTCAAATAATTAAATTGACCGAAAGCATGCGTGCTTTAAGCTAAACTTTCTTGATATGAATTTCAGTCAACGTGCTTAAGACTACTTAGTGACATTTTAAGTTTGAAATGGAGGAATAAATTTTGTATTCCTGCGATTTCATAATATTTAGGCATGTCAATTCATAATATTTATAGGCATGTGACTTCATAATATTTAGACTAGTGTAAAGAACATGCAGACTAGAAAACAAGTCAATAATGAATTTATCAATGCATGTAAGCCTACTTCAAATGTGTCATCATCAAATGTATGTTTCAAATGTCTATATGAAATGTGCCAATTTCAAATGTGGCAGGATCGAATGTATCAATGTCAAATGTGCAAACGTCGAATGTATCAATTTTGAATGTATCGACGTGGAATTTATCACTTTCATATATTTCGTCATCGATTTGTTGGCCATAAAATGTCTTATTTGAATGTTTCAATTCCAATGGATTCGAATAAATATACAATAAAAGAAAATGTTTAATCGTAATCATAAGCGGGTGAACGAATATGTGTATAACTTTTAACAGGTTAATTATAAATTTAATTCCTGGTGTATATAGTGGACTGGAGCCGCGCTCGGAAAAATGTTGAAAAGCGTATAGAAAATTTCCCAAAAATTCTATAGAAGAGAGAAAGTCCAAAGTATATATTATGTTCCAAAATTATCCCTGATTTACTGAAGGGACAACGTGGGCAACAAATTAAACTCTTAAGGGGACCGTTTCGGTAAAAAAAATTTTTATTTACGGACGGATCGTTTTGAAACTTGTTACACATATGTTGAAAAGAAATTTATGACTTTTTGTTCGTGTGAATTTTTCAAAAAATGAAAGAAAACGTGAAATTGATAGAGAACTGCTAAAAAAGGGGATACTGTAGAAATCTATCTCCTCATTCATTAAACATGCTACGACATCGAGAGACATATCATTCGATTTGTAACAAACATATCTAAAATCCAACCTACCATTTTTTTGAATTTCGAATTTGTTGGGGAGGGAGGGGGGAGGGGGGATTTACCAAAAATTGCAAATTTTCCCCCATCCTGACCCCCTCTTTCCTATATATAATCCAAACTATAACGAAATCGAAAAAAAAATTATGGGATGGTTTCTGGAGATTTTTCTTACAAATCGAATGGTATATCTCTCATTGCTGTAGCTTGGAAATCATAAGAGGAGATAGATTTCTAAGGTGCAAAACTTAATTAAAATTTTCAGTGGAGCCGAAAAACTGAAATTTGTCATCATTGCAGGTATAAGTTTTACTTGCACTTCGACGGCTGTCGTGAACGAACAAATTAACGCACAAGAGTAGTTTTGGGCTCAATAGATTCGCATCTTTTGGACCTTTAAAATGATACTAAAACCAGAAAAGCCACAATTTAGATTTTTGACCGAAACGGTCCCCTCAACCTAGCCTTGGAGCCAAGATTGAGATTAAACATGCACAGCTTCACTTAGCCTCAGAGCTACCAAGCCGCAGACTTCTCTAGAACACCGGAAGCCCGAATGCCTGACTGGATCGGCACTGCTCAAAGTCAAAGCGCAGCCACTGCTTTATGCCATTCCCAAGCTTTATGCCATTTATGCCATTCCCCAAGCTTTATGCCATTTATGCCATTCTCCAAGCGCAGCCACTGCTTTATGCCTTTTTAAGCGCAGTCACTGACTGCTTAGTGCCATTCCCCACTACATACTCTGCTTGATGTCATCGAATGTAAAGAACAGCGTTCGCGAATTCTTCAGAAGATGACCCAGGAGGTCGTGTTTGTCTATCTCCGTTTGCATGCTGAGCGCGTTTGGGTGATTATTATAAATAATTTCGTTATAAATTATAACGAATAATAGACTCATTGACTGATTAATGTAGGCCGGCTGCAATAATGAGGATTAACAAAAAAGAAGTTGTTTAAGATGAAAAATTCTGATGTAAGTATTCAGAAGCAATTAAGACAATGGCAAGTAAATACTCCATATTTTTATTGAAAATGTTTTCAAGGAGACAGTGGTAAAGCATTTTTGCTTCTATTTAATTCTTGATTGAAAATAACAACGTTGATTCTCTTCAAAAACCTGAGTGAACCTAACACAGAAGACGAAACCAATGCTTTTGATTTCAATTCAATAAGAAAAGATAGCAGCAATTCACACGCAAATAGATTGACACGATGTGAGGAGGAAGCAAGGTATTATTATTATAAGTTGATAACGATAGGCAGAAGTTCACGTTTCAAATGTAAAACGGGAAATTTAAGAAGGACTCAATAATATTCTCTTACATATACGTAGCTTAGACCAGAACTTCTTTAGGACAAAAAGCCGCGTGATGGTCTAGCTGCAGTCAGTAAAATGAATGGGTCATACTGTACAAATAGTGGCACACTTGGGAGCGCAACCGTGCACCACAAATTTTGTGCAACAATAAGCCCTGAATCGAACGCCTTTGATCTCTCCGGACATCCACCAATCAGCCGTGAACCACTCGGCTCTGTCCTCTTCCGGCCTTGCATAAAACCTGCCGTGCACCACCAGGCCTGGCATCGAATATGACTTCTGGGCATCGTTAAATTACGTAATTTTACGTTCACCGCATCTGAGATTAGGTATCAGATAGCATAGTTGTGTTCCAAAATTTATCGTCCTTCGACGAGTGGCCGTTCGACCGAGGGCTGGTTCGACGCACGGCCTAGATACAGACGGCTTGAAGTGTTGAAGGCTACGTTCCGGAAGGCAGGAATCATGATGGTCCATTACATCCAGGGCAGTGGTGGTCTTCGGCAGGCGACCCAATAACATCAAAGCAATGTTATGCTGAATATTCTGGAAATTTCGCAACTTTTAATTCATGGATTCAGTAAACTTGGGAAAAAAATATATCCACACAAGTGCTTAGTCTCCCTAGATTTATTGCTCTTTAAATACTGATATTGATAGGCTGAATTATCCTAATGAATGATATTTATTCCTGAATGATAGCATTTCACTACACCAACTCAAAGACGTTGAGATTTTTCGAAAGGTGACGTGAAAAATGTGGGAAATCATCAGCTACGTATGATACAAAAATACAAACTTTATTAGAATATTCGAAAACCTTCGAACAGTTTCAAAACAAATAAGACACGGCGTAGACGTTCGCTAAGTCGGTGAGATTGGCATCGTTTCAGCAATAGCGAACTTGACGCAAACCTCGCAGGCAAATAACAAGTAAAGAAATTCCATGTAAAAGTTTCATGACAAATGACAATGAAAATACTACCAAGCTAACCGGGTAACACTGAAAATTGATTTATAAAATAGCAAAAATGTTAATGAATAATGAAGCGATGCGGTGAATGGCGTTTCTGCATTCGCACGAAAAGCCCTTGGCTTAGGCACACTAGAAAAGTGAAACTAATCTACTAATCTAAATACATTTCGCTAAAGCTGTATGGTGAATACCGGGCCTTAAGACTGGCACGTGCCCGGCAGTATGCAGTGGACCGGGCCTTAAGACTGGCACGTGCCCGGCAGTATGCAGTGGACCGGGCCTTAAGACTGGCACGTCCCGGCAGTATGCAGTGGACCGGGCCTTAAGACTGGCACGTGCCCGGCAGTATGCAGTGGACCGGGCCTTAAGACTGGCACGTGCCCGGCAGAGAGTGGACCGGACCTAAAGACTGGCACGTGCCCGGCAGTATAGAGTGGACCGGGCCTTAAGACTGGCACGTGCCCGGCAGTATGCAGTGGACCGGACCTTAAGACTGGCACGTGCCCGGCAGTATGCAGTGGACCGGGCCTTAAGACTGGCACGTGCCCGACAGTATGGAGTGGACCGGGCCTTAAGACTGGCACGTGCCCGGCTGGCAGTATGGAGTGGACCGGGCCTTAATTAATTAAGACTGGCACGTGCCCGGCAGTATGGAGTGGACCGGCTGGCACGTGCCCGGCAGTATGGAGTGGACCCGGCCTCAAGACTGGCACGTGCCCGGCAGTATGGAGTGGACCGGGCCTCAAGCAACGGTCAACAACGAACAGTTAAGTAGACTTGCAACTCTGCACATGCAGAAAAACGAATGGGTCAAATTGCCCAAAAGTGACACAGTTTATGCACGTATCACTGATACGCTCTTTTGTCGGGCCAAATCAGGTCGAGATGACCTAAAATGGGCAGAAATCACGTCACTATTTGGACAAGGTCTCGCTTATTGCTCTGAGTGTAGTGTTCTGCAGCGTTGTGTTTCTTGGTTTGTAATTGGTACGTTCGTGTACTAATATTCGTGACGCGACAAACATTACGTTCGTCTACTAATATTCTTAACGCGACAAACATTACGTTCGTACACTAATATTCGTAACGCGACAAACATTAGGTTCGTACGTTCGTGTACTAATATTCGTAACGCGACAAACATTAGGTTCGTACGTTCGTGTACTAATATTCGTAACGCTGGGATGGCGCTGGAGTCACAGCGTGCCTGTCATCAGTAACGTGCTCCTCCGCAAACTCCTAATATGCCTACCTAAAAAATATTCAACCTTCGTGCGACCTGCAACCATGCCAATGTGACTTCATGTCTAGCAAGCGCCGGCAGCCTAAACGGTTGGCCCAGCCCGGCAGCCGAACCATCTTGTCTTCATCTTCGATCTGAGAGTTCTCGCTTATAGCTAGTTATATTTATTGGATTATTCATTATTTTTTGTTCCATCTGATTATTTATTAAACGATGCACATGCATTTCATCCTCTATACCTTTTTACAAATAAAACTTTTGACTACTGTGTAATCAGTTGTTTCGCTCTCACTATCCCGTTGTTAGTTTTGAGTCGCCGCGCTTCTCCGAGTAAGACTGAAGATAAGAAGTTTTGAAACGCATCTTTCGTAGGACGCAGGGAACCAGGGATCATTAATCACCAGCTGGGCTCCCAACTATGGGCGCCAATGTTCAAGAATGTGACCCTCCTCTTGACCAAGTAAGTGGGTTCCACTATGAACTATTGACTTGTTAGCATTTATTGTATGCCGTAGTCAAACTATCATTACCGTGACTTTTGAGTAAGCTTTTATAATCAATGCATTTAGTACACTCCTATAGCGTCTCCTCAAGATTTTGAAATTCGTTCATTCTCTACCTCGAAATTAGTTCCGAAGGGATCTGCGTGTAATTTAAAACGTACCGCCTTACTAGCAAGAATCCACGTTAGGAATCGTCGAAAATTTCATCAATTATCACTTCCTGGGGGACAGTTTGTTAGTTATTTTACACCTGCAGTACAAAGGCTGATGACAATTCAGCCGAGAGAGTAAGGTTCATGATGCAACCTAATTCTTGTTCTTAATTCCGAGATAGTCTTGCTGTTATCTTGCAATAAGACACTCGTGATGAAACGGGTTCAATCGCTAAATTTTGTACTTTAGAAGTTTTCGAATCCATATCGTCCCAGGACCTTATGAATACAAAATAACTGGTATTACTTTAGATTAAGTGCATCCAAAAAAGGGTGTTTTTTTTAATTATATGTTTTTGAGGTGTAGATAGAAAATCTGAAATCCGTTTTTGGCGGTCGGCATCGGAAAACCGATTTTTATATATGTCGATTTTTATATATTTTCTAAGATAAAATGAAAGTTAAATCTTGGCCTCAATATCCGTGGATTTATAGCGTTTTTTAACTTAGCCCCGGTGACCCATATACTCTTGCAGGCAACCACGACATTGCAGGCAACCACGACATTGCAACCACGGTTAGGTTAGGTTAGTTTTTTGCCGATTTTGTCGATTTGTGCCCGATTTTTTTAATGAATTAGAGCCTCGGGGAAAAAAATTGGTTTTCCGATGCCGACCGCCAAAAACGGATTTCAGATTCTTTATCTACACCCCAAAAAACATATAATTAAAAAAAAAACACCCTTTTTTGGATGCACTTAATCTAAAGTATTACCAAATAACTTTCGAGACTATTGTGTATATTTTACCTATACATATACGCCTAGGGCCAAATTGTCGAAATATTTGAACGAAACGTGTCCCATTTTGAGGTATTTTAACAGTTCATTCGAAGTTGGCTGCAAACGCCTGAAGAATACAAATCGGTTTCATTCACTGAAAAGCATTTCACTGAAAGGTTAAAGATTATGATTAAGCTTCCAAGCCTCCGTTATCTACGTCTGCGTGGTGGCCTCATTGAAGCATACAAGTATACTCGCGGTTTATACAAGGTCCCAGAAGGATTACTAGAATTTGAAAAAAGAACCAACACCAAACGCCTTAAAGAACAGACTAGAGCTAGACGAAGCTATGCAGGAGCGCATATGTTCAGTCTTGAAATGCCTAGCACCTTACGGACCAGGCAATAAGTCCAGCAGCTATCTCAATCAATTCGTCAGTTATGGAATAATCGTGTTCATAAGGCCGGATCCCTTGTGGAATCAAGTCACGAAAAGTACAAGAATCGTCAACAGGCCATGAGTCTGTTTCTTCAGTGCCGACACTTCTATTCTATTTTATTTTAATACTGACACGTTGTCGTCAGTATTAGAAGAAAATATCTGATCCATTTGAATACATTACTACTACTAGAAATCTCTGATCCATTTGAGTACATTATTCTCAATTCCCAAAGACTTCAATTTGCGCAACAGCCGCTCATGAGGGACACTGTCAAATGCCTTGATAAAATCGAGGTACACGGCACCTACTGGCTTCCTTTCGTCCAGCAGGCGGGTCCATTCATTCAGAGTAGGCAAGAGGTTAGTGGTGCAAGATCTACCGGCAATAAAGCCAAGTTGACAGTCTGATAGGAGATTATTAGCAGTCAAATGATTGATCAATCGATCCCTCACAACAGATTCCATTACCTTGCAAACGACACTTCAAAACTGACTTACCTTCAAACGATGCTTCAAACTGACAGGGCGATAGTTGCCCGGGCAGTTTTTGTCACCTTTTTTGAACAATGGTGTCACTTGAGCTTCTTTCCAGTCAGCCGGCAAGATCCC